TCTGCCCTGCCGCGGGCAACAGTGACGACATAAGGAGGGCCGCTTTGCCAATCTTCCCGGCACCCTTTGGAGCAGTGGGAGCTGGCGCCGCAGTCGAGGAAGGTGCAGGAGGGGCCACCTTGAGAGCGGCACTCTCTGTTGCCGCCGCTGCGGTCGCAGCAGCCTTCTCATCGGCAATCCTCTTCCTGCACTCGTTGGCCCAATGGCCCGGCTTGTGGCAGTAATTGCAAGTGCCCGGCTTCTTCTTTCCAGGAGCCGGCGTTGCAGATCGTGGCCTTCCGCCCTTCTTGCCACCTTTGCCTTTGTCCTTTCCCTTTCCTCCTTTGTCTTTGCCTTTGCCTTTATCACCATGCTTGCCTTGGCCTTTTCCATGATCTTTTCCTTTGGGCTCGCCACCCTTGGGCTCACCCTTTTCAGAACGGTCACCACCAAAAGCTGCAAAGCCCTTGGCGTTCGAGGCTTCCTTGTGAAAGTTCAAAACACGAAGCTGCTCATCATAGAAAACCAAACCGCGCTCAAGCTGCTCCAAGGTTGTCAAAGACCCATGCAACAAAAGGTACTTCTTGCAATCATCATGAAGGTGCTTCAAGATGCAGCTGATAACATCAGCCTGCTGCAGTTCAAGGTCTGGGTACTTGTTGGCAACGAGCGTGCGGTAGCGAGCAAAATCAGAAATCATATGGCGAAAAATATCCAATGGCCGTCTCAAGTGCTTTGGTGGCGCGATCAAGAGAGCCTGCTCTCTGAGCGCCTGTCCCTCCACACGAGACCTAACAGACAGTTCTTTGTTCAACTCACGCCAGAGGTCGTACCCTGCAGCGGCACCGCCTTGACTCAACTCGACAAGCTTGGCTATGTCAACTCCTCGCTGAAAACCAGCGAGAGCCTGCTTCAAGAGGTACCACAGCTTAGTGGAACGAGCGGCCTTCCCCTTTGAGAGGCTGATCTGCTGAACCTGAACACCGCTCTCCACAGCCTCTTGCAGTTCCTCCGCGTAGCGGTCGTCTAAAAGACACAGCCAGGAGGTCAGTTCTTCGCGGTAAGCGGTCCACGTGGAGATTTCCTCATGGCGCGATCTCATCTTGTCTGCTGCCAACTTTGGCAGGGACGGAATGTAGTTTTCCGCCCTGTTGCTGCGCAAGCCTGTGTCCACATCCATCTTCACAACACCATCAGAGTCAACTCTGAAGGAGCCCAGAGCTGCAGCAGGCGTCTCTTGGGACGAACTCGCAGCAACGGGTGCTGCACTTGCGGCCGAACTTGCAGCATTCGCACTCGCAACGGCGAGCGTCTTCACCATCTCGGTGAGCTGCGAAATCTGGCCCTGCTGAGCTCGGATCTGTTCATCCTGGGCTTGCAACATCTGCCTGAAAAGGTTGACAGTGTTGTCTTCTGGACTAGGCACAGTTACCTGCTGCGGAATCCCTCCTCCGTGAGGGAAAGCTGGTTGCGGTCCAAAATGAGGCTGTTGCTGCTGCTGAAAACCCTGCTGCAAAGGAACTTGCTGAGGCACCTGTGCAAAAGGCACCTGAGGCACTTGACCTGCACTCGCAAGAGGTCTGGGTCTACTCACAGGCCGGTGTGCTGTCGGACTGTTCCGAGCAGGAAGGGACCTTCCACGAGTCCGCGAGCCAGGTGCACTTCGAGGGGTTGAAGGAAAGCCAGAAGAAACTCCACTGGCACGACTAGCACTCCGCCCCGAACTCCGTCCTCTTGGGGAACGGTCGCGGCCGGGCTCGGCTCGTGGGTCCATGGCTCTGAGGAGCAACCTTGAGCTCCGCTACCACGTTAAAACCCAAACGCGCCTTGAGGCACACTTCCAGGTTTAGTAAAAAGAGGTGCAAGCCGACTGACTGACTACGTCACGCAAGGCTACAGCAGTGAAAGCTAACAGCACTTTTACACCTTTCGTCGCAACCAACTGTTCACCACGCGCTTGTCACGCAGTGCAAGTCTTGAGCCAAAGTGAAACGGGGCGCAGACAGAGACTTCAGCACACTCACTTCCGCGGTAAGTCCTAAGGACTCCTAACGGCTTCTCTGCACTGGTAACTCTGTTCTATGGCCCAGGTGCTCCCCGGACTTCGTCTAGAAGTCCGTTCTCACAGCAAACAAACTGAAAACACTCTGATGTTCATCATGCTTCAGGGAAACACCGTTGTTCGTGAAAACTCGTGAGGAAAACTCCGGTTGGACACGCTTCTGGTAATGATCACTTTCACCGCAAGGTGAGACAGGAAGCGTGAGCGCAGCGACCGACAGACAGACAACTTTTCCCTACTCCTACCGTTCACAACTACACCTAAGGTTCTCTAAAACTCACAAAGGAGAAAACAGAAAGTGTTCCTGACCTTGGCGAGACACAGGGGCACCATTATAGGATTGAAGATCAACTTGGACTGAGACGCGCAGATCGTAACGTGCTTGACGCCTCTTAATGTGGAAGAAAAAAAGAAGTGCGTCCTTCAGAGCCCTCGAAAGCAAGAAGACCAACTCCAAGAAACTTCAATAAAACACTCTACACATTGAACGGCCGCGCGCACCTTATGTTTGCACTGCTGGTGTCTGCAGAAAACTGCTTCAAATCTCACATATGTTAACAATCGCAAAATTAGTGGCACTCAAGTGACTCACTTCGGCGAGAAGTTCACTTCGGCAAGAACTTCGGCGAGAAGTTCACTTCGGCGAATTGAGACAGGGCAGCAACCAGTTTCTCGTTCGGGCACCTGTTGCATTCGGAACGGAGACGGCACTGTTAACAAACGACAAAGTGCTCGCATTTGTGTTCTTATTCCACAACACTCACGTCCGAGTTTTTCCGACATGTCTCCACCAAGTTCAGAATCTCACGGAGGCAGCGGAAAGCCCGCTTCTCTCAGCGCCTCTCGGTGCTGCTCCGTCGCCCGAGCATAGCTTGCGGAACATAAGCGCCAGAGCCCACATGCTGCCCTCGTGTGGCTCCACCATGTGATAGCGGCGAGCATCAAAGCTGACGGGCTTGTCGTGCATGTCCAGCCACCGCCTGCGTAGCTCTCGCTCCCCTTTCGGGGCTTGCCGGCACCGATTTCAGAGGAAAGGGCCGATCTGGCCGAAATCGTGCTCAAATGCTAGGCGGTGGACACACCGAAATCGGGCTCTCGCCAGTGCGCAGTCGGCTCGCAAAACGCCGGCTGCCGAGGGCCGTCGGGGCGCACCCTCCCCAGGCGGCTTCAAAATCCAGAAAATTGGGGTGCGGCATGGTGTTTTCGGGGGGTTGGAGTGCGAAATGCCGGCAATGTCGAAATCGCTGCGTTTTGCACTCCAAAAAGCATGAACACAGGCGGGGGTGGTATGGAGCCGGCGCCAGCCGGGCGCCAGCCGGAGGCTTGTCATCCTGTTGTCGCCCGCCGGGGAGGCTAATTTCGGCGCCATTTCCACGATTTTTGTCGGGACACCAGGCGCCGTGACAGAGCAACGCTGTCTGTCATCGACACCTTTGGCGTGAAACCCGCCGCAATTTGCTCGACTTTTGGGAGCACCAGCAGCATGACCGGACGAGGCCCGTCTGTCATCGCCTGTCATCGGCCGCTTCGGGGCGACTTTCGGCTTGCTTTCTGGAACACCGAGCGCAATGACAGGATGACAGAATGACAGGATGACAAGGGTCCCAGCTGGGTCAAGATAAAGCATAGACCTGGCGGCCGGAACGCCACGGAAGAGCCTTCCGAAGCCAATATCGTGCGACTACTGGACCTATGGTTGGTGGACTGGAAGCGCCAGGCCGTACGCGGGCCGTAGGGCCGGGGGCCTACGATAAGTACGCAACGCTGGGGCTGTTCGGGCACGGCGGAGTGCTCGGGGTCTCCAATGCCACCGGCCAGCAGGAGGCCTGCGCCGCTGTGAATGCTTTCTCCGCAGCCACTTTCCGAGCGGCACCTCCATCGCCGTGCTCTTCAATCCGCACATGGGGCTGCACCGTGACATTCAGAACATGGCCGGGCACTCGAATCACGCGCTGGCTCTGGGCGAGTGCACAGGAGGGCGGGTGTGGATCGAAGATGACGAGGGAGACTCCACGGCAAGGCTGGCCGACAAGAAACGTGGTCGAAGAGGGTTCAGGATGGGTCGAACACAGGCACACGGAATCGCCGGGCATCGCAGGCCCGCGTTGCCCCGATTTTTTGAACTCTGCCGGGACTGCCGGCCAAACGTGACACTCCGGGCAAGGCCAAAAAGGCTTTTCTGGGTCCCTTCGCACGGAACTGTGGTGAGCCGGCGATTTTGATGGGTACGTCCCCTATGTTTTGCTGCCGATTTTGTGCGTCGGTGCGTTCAGTGTCGATCGGCGGCGAGCCGTGGCTATCGTCGCTTGTCTCCTTCGATCGGCGCTCTGGGGGGCCGGGCTGGAAGGGAGTTGGCTCATTCTCCAGTTTGTCTGGGAGTGGGGGCTGGGAGTGTGTCATGGATGCTTCATTTTGGTCTTTTCGATATTTTGCCACAGTGTCTTGTATAGTGGTTTTGCGTGGTTGCTTTGAAGTCTTTTCCCCGCCAAGCCTTTCACAGGAGTAAGCCCTAGGGGCAAGGGGGCAAGGGGTTTTCCTGTGAACTGGAAGGCGCTCCCAACGTCCAAGACATGTGTGTGTGTGTGTGTGTGTGTGCGCATGCTAAAATCCGCGCCAGGTATTCGGCCTTCCGCTCAATTCGATTGTCTGGACCTCGGCTTGGCAGTCTGCAGGAGTTACTGGGTGGTTCTGCTCTGTTGTTAAGGGTTCTCGTTGCCTCGCCCTCCCCAGCTTGCTCTGCCCAGGTGCCCGCGACTTCTTCGACTTCTTGCGCCGGTGCCTTTGTTCTGCGGCTTTATCTGTCTTGGTGTTGTTGCTGCGCTGTGTCGCTGCTTTCCTTGAGTTGCATAGATGATGCCGAAGCCAGGATGCTTCTCAAGCAGCTTGGGCTGTTGTTAGATAGTTCGTTATTCAGAGTTTTCTGCTTGTGCTGTGCTGGTGCGCAGTGTCTGGCTGAAGCATGGCGAAACGTGGTGGCAAAGTTGGCACCATGGTATTGCTGCTCGCGGGCCTCTGGCTTGGTCTGGCTGGATCTCGCCTTGCTCTCACGTTGACAGTGGCGAGCAGGGCTGGTGCTCTGAAGCGCCTGCACGCTGGCGCCTTGAAGCTGAAGGCCGGGGATGTCTTGAGCCGCTGGCAGTTGATTGCGTTTCCGTGGAGTCTATGGACATGGAGGTTCTTGTTCAGGTCCCGTGAGTAACTTTTCTGATGGCATGTTTTCCGTGAGCTTGTGCCTGCTCGTGCCAGCCAGCACACCTCATGCAGTCACTGCAGCTTCAACTTGTCAGGCATCCTCCAAAGAAAACACGGATGACCTGGAACGCACAACGGCCGAGGCAGTTTTGTCGGCGGGTTTGCGCTTGGTAGTTCTGCCTGGCTCATGCAAGGCCACAGCAGGCTTGGATCAGGCGGGCTGTCCGTAAAGCCTCGTGGACTGGAGCATCCTTTAGGCTGTGCCCATTGGCGCAGGCCGAGTGGCTGCAAAAGACAGCTGAGGGGATCCGGCTGTTTGGAGTGGATGAGGCGCTTCGCGATTGTTCCTGCTTGCTTGAGTTTCGAGCCTGTGTTATAGATGGCAGGTCCGTGACTGGGCGAAAGCCGTATTGCCGAGAAGTCCTCAAGTCGCTGAGACTTTGCACGAGCAGCAAGTGGATGGTGAAGATGTCTTGGACCTGACCTATGAGCGGCTAGTGGCTGAGCCCTACAAAATTGCTGCCGGCCCTGCCGGAAAACTGGCCAAGCGCATCGCTGCTGTGTCTGCCCCGCCGACGGCCGCAAGCGGATTCCAGGCGGGGGCCTCAGCGGACTGGAAGGGTGCCTTGGGGTCAGTCGGGGCAGTTCGTGAGGACGACCCAGATGCCACGGAGTTCATCCGGGAGCTGGCCAACGCTAAACCGCAGGACTTGGGTGCAGGCCGCTTGGGGGCTTGGGGTGGGTGATCTCTTTTGTCTGCGCCGCTGTTGCAGGCGTGCAGGTCTTCAACCTCACGAAGACCCTGCCCGTAGAGCCCTACGACCAGAGCGGGCCGAGATTATTGACGCGCAACACGACGCGCCGAGCCTGGAAGGCCATCTTCGAGCTCATGAGAAACGGCACCAAGCGCGTGGCCATGTTGGGCGTCCCGGGCATCGGGAAGAGCCGCAATCTGGCACTGGGCCTCTGGCACCTGGTGAGGGGCCAGCTGCCAGACGGGATTCCGCAGCCCGAGGCCATTGTGTTCGAAGCCCGGCAGAGCAGCACAGTCTTCCTCTTCACCAAGGGCCAGGATGGCTGGAAGGCGCAGCGCCGGCAGATGGACTGGAGTCCATCAGGCTGTGCGCACCTGCAAAACTCCAACAACTGGTACCTGGTGGATGCTTCCGACGCTTCTAAACCGTCGCAGTTGGCTGCGAAGACAGTGATCGCCTGCAGCCCAGACCGGGACCACTACTCCAATTTCGTCAAAGACGGAGGCGAGTGTGTCTTCGTTGAAGCTTTCAGGTGGGCCGAGGTGAAAGCGTGCTATCCACAGTTGGAGACTAAGGTTGACCCGGAGGATCTGCGCCAAAGGTTCCAGCAAGTCGGAGGTGCTCTGCGCACCCTTCTGGCAAGCCCGATGGGCTACGAACAAGCCGTGGAGCTGCAGATGGCCGAGGCAAAGGAGTTCTCCACAGTGGAACGTGTCTTTGCAGGTGAGTTGAATAACGTCGAAGGCAAGACGATGCCTACCAGGCTCTTCACATACCGCAGCGCAGATGGGATCTCAAAAAAGGTCACCGTCTGCTCTCCCGGTGCGGCCACACTGCTTGTCGAGAAGCACTATGACAAGCTCGTGCCGCTGTGGTGCGATCCAAGCACCCCAAGGTCGAGGTATTGGCTCGAGGACTTTGTAGGCGTGCTTTTGACAAAGCTTTGGTCGGGCAAAACAGGGCTTTTTGCCTTTGAAGTCACCAAGGCGGCAAATGCGGCTGCGAAGAGAGCCCAATGGAACTACAAATCGGTCCGGTCATGGACTTGCAAGTTAAGGAGGGTTTGCAGCTTCTAGAGTGCGACACCGATCACATCTTTGATGCCAGATGGCGGGAGGCTGTGCAGAGAGGCAGTCTAGAGGGACATGTTCTGCACAGCCCAGAGAATTATCCGGTCATCGACTACCTGCTGGACTTCAACCACGGCATCTCCGTGACGACCTCCCTCAAGCACGACATCGCAAAGGCGTTTCGTGAAAAGTTGGGGGAGATGTTCGGAAACGCTTCCCAACCCTGCAGTTTCACTCTCACGTTTCTCATTACAGGAGAGCCTCAAAAATTCACACCGAAGGGAAGCGATTACGAGGCACTAAGGGGCATGGCGGGTACAGAAAAGCTGTTTGACAATGTTCGTGTACAGGTCGTGCAGATTCCGAAGAAGCTCAATAGCCTGAGTTGAAAACTATGCTGCAGAGAGATCTGGGTTGTGTCTTCAGCACTTGCCGTGACTTTCGTCTTGCTTCTTGGCATCCTGAAGCTGTCAGGAAGCGGCTCGTCTCGACATGGCGGAAGACTGGAGTGAAGCCCAGGCACAGCAGGGCATAGTTGTGAGTCAGGGCGTGCAGTGAAGTCAATTCAAGGAGCCTCTGAATGGTTGTTGTCTTTGCTGAGGATTGCAAAAACCGGGGATTCGTTTGTCTCTGTGTGAGGTTGGTGAATGCTGTCATTGTAAAAGGCACAGGTGAGACTCATTAAGGCCCTGAGTCATTCTGTCATGGGTCGCCTGAGCGCGGAATTCACTGTCATTTTCTTGTTTTCGTTGGCATGCCGGACCCCATGACCGCATGACAGCGTTCTGTCATAAGCCATTTGGGGTAGAAGCTCGCTTGCAAATTCTTTGTTTTTGGCACGCTGGGAGATATGACGTTCTGTCATAAGCAAATTTCGTTGCTCTTGGCTCGTTTTTGTGGACCGCCGGCCACCATGACAAAATGACAGAATGACAAGGCCCCCCTCTCGGCCGGCCGCGACCCAAGCCCCAAGCCTGATGCTCTCTTTGTTTTAATGCTCTGGATGCTCCGGCACCGCGAACGGCCCCCTCTGCAAAGCAAGCAAAAACAAGCAAATCTGAGCCGAAAATTGGCTGTTACCGCCGCTCCTTGGTTGCCAGCGGCCCCCGGGGAGGCCTTGTCATTCTGTCATTTTGTCATGGGCCGCCTGGCCGCGGAATCCACCGCCATTTTGATGATTTTTGGCACGCCGGACCCCATGACAGCATGACGGCGTTCTGTCATAGGCCGCTTGGGGCGAAACTCGCCGCAAATTCGTTTGTTTTTCGGGCGCGTGGGCGCCATGACAGCGCGACGAAGTTCTGTCATAGGCCACTTGGGTTCAATTTGTGTTGCTTTTGCACTTTTTCCGAACGCCGGACAGCATGACAGAATGACAGAATGACAAGCCCCCTCCCGGCCGGCCGCGACCCAAGTCCCAACCCTCCGTTTTGATGCTCTGGACGCTTTTTTTGATGCTCTGGATGCTCCGGGCGCCACGAACGGCCGCGTTTGCAAAGCTAGCCAAAATCCACAAAATTTGACCCGAAATCGACTGCGAGCAACGCGCGCCCTGGCCGTCGGCGGCCCCCGAGGGGGGCCCGTCATCCAGTCATCCTGTCATCGTTCGCCTGGGCCGGGAATTCGCTTTCATTTTCATTGCTTTTTTGGCACGCCGGGCCCCATGACAGGATGACGGCGCCTTGTCATCGGCCATTTGGGCCGAAATCAGTCACAATGGCCTGGATTTTCGGGAATCTCGAAGCGATGACAGACGACGATGTTCTGTCATCGGTTGAATTGGTGTCACTTTAGCACTCTTTTTCTGGACCGCCGGCCACGATGACAGAATGACAGGATGACAGGATGACAAGCTCTCCCGCCCCCCCCCCCCCGTCAATTTTTATATGGCTCCTCGGGGTGGAGTCCAAAGGTGTCCGGCGGCGCCGCCCCCCTGACCGGCCGCGATCCAAGCCCCACCCCCCTGCCTTCCCGTTTTGATGGTCCGGATGCTCCGGATGCTCCAGGCACCGCCCGTTTGCAAGCAAGCAAAAATCTACAGAATTTGAGCCGAAATCGGCTGCAAGCAACCTGCCGGGCATCGAGGCCGCCAGGAAATGGGGGGGCCAGCGGGGGCTTGTCATCTGTCATCCTGTCATCCTGTCATCGCTCGCCTGGGCCGGGAATTCGCCTTCATTTTCATCGTTTTCTTGGCGCGCCGGGCCCCGTGACAGGATGACGGCGTTCTGTCATGCACCATTTGGGGCGAAATCAGTCGCAGCGCCCCTGATTTTCGGGAATCTCGAGGCGATGACAGACGACCGTGCTCTGTCACCGGTCGCTTGGGTCCAATTTGTGTCACTTTAGCGCCCCGTTTCTGGACCGCCGGCCACAATGACAGGATGACAGGATGACAGGATGACAAGCCCTCCCGCTCCCCCCCGGATTTTTTTTGACTTGGCTCCTCGGGGTGGACTCCAAAGCTGTCACGTCCCGGATTGAAATCTCGAAGCTGCCGCACCGCCAGTGTCAGCCGAGCTTTAGGCTCCGCGGAGCCGCGGGGCACTGGGAGCGCATGCTTCAGCAGAGTCTCCGACCTGTCGGTGCCCGCACCGTCATCGAATCATAATTCGAAACCTCCCGCACCCCCCCGTACTTGCGCTGGAAGGACCTTTGCGCATTGGTGGGGGCCCGGAACGCCCCCGTCTCCTCCAGCCGCCGCTGACGGCTCCTCGTGAGCTCGTCGTTGTGCTTGAACTTGGCCGCATTGTCTTGATAGACCCGGAAGCTCGCGGCCGGCATCGTCTCCACATCCTCGGGGGCCACCGTCACGGCCGCATGCGGCCTGGCATTGTAGGCTTCCGCCGCCTCTTCCACATGGTCGCCCCAGCCCCCACCGTCCCGGGCCACCTTGCCCGCCAGATCCTTCTTCAAAGTTTGAATCGCCCGGTCCACCACCGCCGTCGCATTGCGGTCGGAGGGGTCCTTCTGGCGGTGCACCGCGCCTCCGGGCAGCGCCGCCTCCAAACCCCGAAACTCGTTTCCCATGTCCGTCGTGACGACGACGTTGGTTTCGTCCTGGACCAGGTCGGGGATGATCTCCGCGGCCGCTCGGGTAACGGTATCCGCCCGCTTGTCGGGCAGGGCCTTCGTGGCCACTTCCCGGGTGAACACATCCGTCACCACAAGCCCGTACTTGTTCGCCCCCCTCGTGTTCTGGCTAAAATCCACCAGGTCCGCTTGCAAGCGGTCGTTGGGCCCCTCCGCCGCACTCTTCCCCAAACTCCGCGGCTTCGGTGCGAGCACCTGCCGCGCCACATCGCTGCGCAATGCCGCCTGGGCCCGCGCACTCGTTAGGTCCCGTCGGTCCGGGAACTCCCGTCGAGCGATCTGAAAGAGCTTGCGGGGATCCCGCACGTTGAAGTCCCGGGCCAGCCGCCCGAGGAGCTCCATCGCTCCGTCTTCCGCCATTTAAATGCTATTAGCCCAGATCAGCTCTCAGCAGGCGGTCGGGGCTAATAGCTTTTTTGGGGCACACAAAGCTTCGGAAACCGCTATTCTTCCAGCCCGTCGGTGAAACCGACGCACTGGAGGAATAGCCTTTTCGGGCTCCAAAATAACGCCCTCAAAACCGCTATTACCCCAGCCCGCCTGTGGAAAGGCACCCTGGGGGGATAGCCCTTTTGGGGCCCAAAAAACGCCCTAAACGCCTTCAAAACTGCTATTCATCCAGACCATACCTGGAGGTATGATCTGGATGAATAGCCCTTTCGGGGCCCAAAACACACCCGAAACCGCTATTCTTCTCGATTGCCTGTAGAAAGGCGATCGAGATGAATAGCCTTTTCGGGGCACAAAACACCCTCAAAACCGCTATTCCCCCAGGCCATACCTGGAGGTACACCCTGGGGGAATAGCCCTTTCGGGCTCAATCCGAGTCTCCCTTGCGACCACAGCACCACCGAGAGCTTCTGGTAGTCCAGAGCCAGCAGCTCCTCCGGTCCGTTCATGGTCTTGCACAGGGTCTCGCCCAGCTTCCCGGCGGCCTGCACGTCCTGCGCGATGAAACCAAGCTGGTCCTTGCCTCCACCGATCCGGTCGTAGTACTGTGGCTCCACCGCATCGAAGAGCCGTTGGACGTGCTGATCCTGCACGCGCCGGATGTTCTCCTTGAGCCGCCGGTCCGAGGCGTTCAGGTGGCCGTAGCCGAAGATGACCTCACCATTGAGGGAGCCGCCTGTGTTCGGTTCAATAGCCAAGTTGGCGATGCTGTTCGTGTTGTTCATGGAGATGAACTGGAAGAGGCTGTTCAGCTGCACGCCCCCGCCCGCCAGCGCCTTGAGCTCCGCCACGCCGGCCTGGTTGTTGGCGTCCAGCAGCAGCTTGGCATCTCCCGTGGGCGCGGCGTTGCGGATGACCACTCCCACTGTGCCGTCCGTGGGTCCCACCGCGATTTGCTCCAGCAGCGGGCTGAGCACCTGCACGCCGCTGGTCCCCCCCGACAAGCTCAGGAAGGGCAGCGACGCCTCGGGGCCCAGCACCCCGTTGACGCGCACGGTGTCGTCCATCAGAATCCCGTTGGTGCCCCCCTGCACCGTGAGCCATGGCGCCGCCGGGTCAGCGCGCACCAGCGGGGCTTCCAGGTGGAGGTTGCTCACGACCTCCAGGTTGGCCGTGACGCTGCTGCTTGAGTTGAAGGTGCCCGTGGCGGCGACGCTGCCGACGGCTGCCGACGAGCAATTGCGCGAAATCCGCCGTGGTGGCGTTGAGGGTGCTGGCCGCGGCCACCGTGACGTCCCGGTCCAGGATGCCTCCGTCGGCGAAGGAGGCCAGCAGCGCGCCGTCCTCCTTGCGGATGGTGACCAGTGCATTCTGGCTGCGGAGTCGGGTGTCCACGAAGCTCGTGGCCGTCAACGGTGAGGTCCGCCGTGGGGGCGACGCCTCCGCTGTTCTCCAGGGCGGTGACCCGGGAGTCGATGCTATTGACCGTGGAGCCCAGGCTGTTGAAGGTGGCGACCAGGGGGTAGCGTCTGTCGCTTTGGGACTTGCTCCAGCAGTCCGCCTCGATCTCAAGCAAGATCGCCGCTCCTGTGAGGGGCGACCTGAAAAGCAAGCTGCGGACGATGTGCGGGGTGAATTGTGAATTGCTTTTGCACGAGGTGGAAGATGCCGTTGCCCTCCGCCACGGCGGGATTGTTGGGAAAGTAGCGGGAGTCCAGCGGCCCTTGTTCGCCAGGAAGCGCCCGTCGGCTTCCGCCCTCGTGTAGGCATCGCAGGTGAGCTCCAGCGTGGTGTCCGAGAAGAGGCTGCGGGCCCCCAGGGGCGCCCGGGGCAGGATGGCCTTGATCATCGGGGGCGTCACGTTGGGGACTCGAAGCTGTTGTTGGCGCTGACCGCGAAGTAGCGCGTG